GTACCTAGCCGCGATGCAGCTACTCAGGGTACTCTCTATGGTCCCGTACCGAGCCGCGATGCAGCTACTCAGGGTACTCTCTATGGTCCCGTACCGAGCCGCGATGCAGCTACTCAGGGTACTCTCTATGGTCCCGTACCGAGCCGCGATGCAGCTACTGTGGTTATGTGGATGTCCTGCACTGGACTGGCATCCCATCCAGGGTGTCCCCTGCCTTGTGCCCTGTAATGGACTGGTATCCCATCCAGGGTGTCCTCTGCCTTGTGCCCTATGATGGACTGGCATCCTATCCAGGGTGTCCCCTGCCTTGTGCCCTGTGATGGACTGGCATCCTATCCAGGGTGTCCCCTGCCTTGTGCCCTGTAATGGACTGGTACCCCGTCCAGGGTGTCCCCTGCCTTGTGCTCTGTTATTCCTTAAATAGGCTCCAAGCTCACCATGACCCCATTTTGGGTAAGTTGTGTAGAAGCTGGTTGAGGGATTTCAGCTTAGCGCTCCTTGCTCTTTTATTCTATAGCTGGGCCCATCCCATGATCAGATCCATTGGTTGGAATTACCCGTCCATAACAATTATGCTCTCTGATGGGAGTGGCTATAGCATTTTAATGACTGAGATTGGATAATTATTTGGGGGAGGGTGGTGGGCTGAGACAATTGGATCAGTGACACAGATGAATTCCAGGGATGCTTGATGGGAAAGAAGGAGTACTGTGACCATGCTGAAGCCACTCCAAGGAGAGAATAAACGATTGCAGATGGCAAGAGGATCTAAGGCCATTTTGTGTTTGCCTTTTGTGCAGATTTCTAAATACCAATGCACATTTAAAAGTGCTTACTGATCAGGGAAGGTCACTATCCAAATGGTATCTTCATTCAAGTATGAAGCCTATACTGTTTATATACTATGCATTTTCGGCCTCAAAGCAATGAAATAATACATTTCAAATATTGAATGTAGATATGACCAGCTGCAACATCTGAAAATTTTCTCAAATTTTAGGCTGTTGAATTGCAGTCTCTTGGCATTCTTTCAACCGGCTTCCAGATGTACCCACCTGGAATGCTTCTCCAATATTCCTGAAGAAGTTTCCAGAAGTTCTGGGCTACCTTGCTCTTACTTTTGATCCAACTCATCCAAAACCAGCTTAGGGTTCATATCTTGTTGTTACTTTTCAGTAATTACTGTATATTCACACTTTTTACTCTTACTGTATATCTATATACAGTATACATATATCTGTACACGTATGTAAAGTGTGGGCAATATTAACAGTAAAAATACAGGTGCAACATTCCATTTCTGTGATCTACAGTTATAGACATATAAAGCCACACATATACAGGGATAAAGCATAACATTAAAGCCACTGACAGGTGAAGTAAATAACACTGATTGTGTCATTACAATGGCATCTGTCAAGGGTGCCAGTTCTTGAAGTTGATGTGTTGGAAGCAGGAAAAATGGGCAGGTGTAATGATCTGAGTGACTTTGACAAGGGCCAAATTGTGATGGCATGCAGTGGTCAGTACCTACCAAAAGTGGTCCAAGGAGGGCTAACGTGTGAACAGGCGACAGCGTCATGGATGCCCAAGGTTCATTGATACACATGGGGAGCGAAGGCTGGCCTGTCTGGTCTGATGCCACAGCAGAGCTACTGTATCACAAATCGATGAAACAGTTAATGCTGCCTATAATAGAAAGGGGTCAGAAAACACAGTGCATCACAGCTGGCTGCATATGGGGCTGCGCAGCCGCAGACCCGTCAGAGTGCCCATGCTGACCCCTGTCTACCACCACGTGTGCCTACAATGGGCTTGTGAGTGGCCAAAGTGGATCATGGAGCAACAGAAGAAGGTAGCCTGGTCTGCCTTTCTGTTACATCATGTGGACAGTCAGGTGCATGTGTGTCGTTTATGTGGGGAAGAGATGGCACCAGGAGGCACTATGGGAAGAAGGCAAGCTGGCAGAGACAGTGTGATGCCTTTGGTAATGTTATTCTGGGAAACCTTTGGTCTTGACTATCATGCAGATGTTACTATGACATATACGACCTGCCTAAACATTGTTGCTGAACATGTTGACCCCTTATTGGCAATGGCATTCCCTTTCAGCAGGACAATGCATGCTGCAGCACTGCAACAATTGTTCAGCAATTGTTTGAGGAACATGACAAAGAGATCAAGGAGTTCCCCACATCTCAATTTGATAGAGCAATGGAGCATCTCTGGGATGTGCTGCAGAAACAAGTCCCATCTATGGAGGCCACACCCCTCTCCTTACTGCTGCTAAACTTTTGGTACAAGATACCACAGGACACCTTCAGAGGTCTTATGGAATTTATACCTCGACAGGTCACGGCTGTTTTGGAAGCACGAGGGGGCCCTACACAGTGTTAGGCAGGTGGTTATGACTGATTGGGGTACATACTTCCATGCACACATACAAGTGTGACTCTTATGACTAACTTGTCAAATTCAAGTTAAGGGCCACGTTTAAATCGTAGAATAAATCGGAGACAGAGGCATGGATGAGCTGGTGGGTAAAGCGCTGCGGTGCACTGATTTCTCCACGCTGTAGGGGGCAGCACCGCGTCGGTCGGGAGCGAGGTGAACCGGCTGCACGGCGAAGGAAGAAGAAGAAGCGGCGGCGGCTTTGACGTCACTGAGTGACAGCTAGCTGTCAGAGTGAGTCGCCCCCACCGCCACCTCCGCCAGCGGTAGCTCCGGTCCCCAGGCAGAGAGCTCGTCATTTTCTCCAGTTTTGTTCAGTCACACAGACGGAGAGCGGACTCGGCGGCGGTGGAGAGACCCGTCCGACGGATCAGTCGAGCCAGCTCTCCGCGAACCGGTCCTGGACATGGACGAGCAGGCTGGGCCCGGCGTCTTTTTTAACGCCAACAACAGCTCCGTACTGCCCGGCGGCGTGAAGGGAGCCCAGCCCGCCGAAGGCGGCCCCGGAGCAGGCGGAGGAGAGGCGGCCAGGGCACAGTACAGCATCCCGGGGATCCTGCACTTCCTGCAGCACGAATGGGCCCGGTTCGAGGTGGAGAGGGCGCAGTGGGACGCGGAGCGGGCCGAGCTGCAGGTAACCCCGAGCCGGGTATCGCGCCGACCGGTTCCATACCGCCTGGCATGGGCGCTTTCGCTTCGTCTGCGTATTTTTGTGTATTTTAGTGTATGTTTGTGTGTGTTTGGGAGCCAGCTGCTCCTCCGGCCATGGCGAGCCGGGAACCCCTAGCCGGCCAGCGGAGCCGCGTCAGACGGCACATAAACACCGGCGGTGCCGCCTGGCTGCTGGTCAGCTGCCCGCTTCTGTTTATACATAGAGTCTGTCTGTATACTTGCACGCAGTGTTAAGGAGATTAAAGCAGCAGTCAGTTAGTGAGTGTGCGTCTAGTCACCTGGCTGTTTATTCTGACGCCCCCTTGGGGCGGGGGGGTTGTGTGTGTGTGTGTGTGTGTGTGTGTGTGTGTGTGCGCGCGCGCGCGTGTGCGTGTGTGTTTATACTGTGTATATAGTGTGTATATAGTGTGTAGGCGCGAGGGAAGCACCGGCCGCCGCTCTTACCAGCACGCATGGCACATACATGTCATGCTGGTGAAAGTGTTTCATCAGTCGTATGTCTAACCGAAGAAAAGCCCTTCTGTGCGCAGAACCCGGACTCAGAAAACGCAGACCGATGAAGAGTAAAGTACTTTGTGCCGAGATTAAATAAAGCGGTATTGGATTAAAATGGGCTGTAGATCGGCGCAGTTCGAGATGCCGTAGTGTTTTAGTCTGGAACTAGGCATTCCGCTGTGATCTGTAATGGGGGGGCACTAGGTAGCCTTTCGGAATCAATAAAAAGGTCCGGTTTGTTAAATTATTGAAATAAACGTTGCAGACACATGTCTGATGTAACCCAGTTTGCTTCAGGTAGGAGGTTAAATATATCCGTCCCTGGGATAATTTCAGTCCTGGTTTCCCTGGAAGAGTTCTTATCATGTACTTGCTAAAGATGAAATCCCATTAAATGTCCAGTTATCATCAGTTCAAGAGAGATGGGCCAGACCACCCATGACTCATTAGTGCATGACTTTATTGCATTGACTGAGTGAGTGGCTGGAGTGTTCAGACATTAACTGGGAAAAGGATGTAAACCACAGTGTTTGTGATGTGTGCTGTGATTGTTAGACAGCCAATACATATCTCTTTATTTTATTAAGCACATTAATGTACAAATGAGAAAAATAAAGCGTTTGACAGATACACTGACAGGTACCATAAATGCCTTTAAATGATTTCAGAATTTACTGTCTAACCAGTTCTAGTGAGATAAAAATAAGAAAATGTTTCTTTGTTTCTGTTTGAAAGCAACCGGTTTGGCTATTTTAATGGTTGTTTTTTTGTTATTTTTTGTACTGCAACCTATCTTTCTATTTTATTACCAGTGGATTCCTTTTTCCCAGTGACTTGTTTGCCGTGCACATAGTTGACATTTAAAGTTACAGTGTTTCTTGGGCTGGTGTTAATCTAGTCACATGCTGGTGAGAAGATGACATGGTAACTGGCAGGGCAGCCGAGAGCTGGGATGAAGTGGCAGGCCGGGGTGCGGTGGGCGGCCGTGGTCCCGGCACGCTCTGCGTGTCACTTTGTCAGACCTGGAGATGCCGTGTGCGCTGATGGCTCAGAAGCCTCTCTAGCAGGCCTGCTACATATTCAACAGGCAGCATCTCTGTATGGGCAGCTTGTAGCTCATGAATATTAAACAAGTTAAATCTGTTTCTCAGTGGGATCCTGCACAGTAGCTCAATGGGTAGCAAAGGACCCGGGGTGTCATAGGATTGAGTCCAGTGTGGGCTTTGGCTGTCAGGAGTTTTACCAGTTCCTCTAATCCAAAGACATAGTGTTAGTTAATGTGTGTGTGTGTGTGGATGTGTGTCTGATCTGCATCATTGTGGATGACAAGTGAACATTATTTCCTGCAGTGTTAATATCCGTAGGATTCAAAATCTGTGTCCAAATCTCAGAACCTGCTTTAAGCACGATTGTAATGATACAATTAGCCATTTACTTTTCTTGTACGCAGTAATTTTATTTACACATGACAACTTCCCAATATGGCAGGATCACCTGGTGTATGTGATCCAGTTTTCAGCTTATTTTCCCCCGTCATATGACAGGGAACGCGAAAACATGACTGATTCGAACATACTGCAGAAATGTAATGCTTAATAGCTGTTACCCATGAACTTATTTTTTGCATTTTGGACTTTAACGTTTGATCGGATGCGGGGAGCAGACATTCTGTCATTTAGATGTTATCCCAGAGTCGTGAAGGTGGTCTTGGAGGTATGGGCGCTATATTAGGCAGCTGTGGAAGCAGAGGGAACAATGAGCAGTAGACTGGACTGTTTCCTGCAGGGTGCTCTCCTTCCTGCACTATCGCTTGCGTTCCTGCCCTTTGCCTGTGTTGCGTAACAGAAAAAGCCCACTTTGCTTTTCCCTGCCGCGTTTGTTAGTAGCCCTCCCGCTCCAATATACTCTGCCAGCTTGGCCCGGTGAATCTGGGAAGGGCATGGGGCTCTGACGGAGCTGCGAGGTAAACACAAGCCCGGAAGAGTTGGCATTGCTTCAGTAAATCCCTGCCAGCTGTGACCTGTGAGCATAACCGTAAAAACAGGCTGAAAGGAAATAATGACTGTGCAGGGCGACGTGCATGTCATGGCCCTTCTCCTCCTGCCCTCCAAAGTGGTCAGCTCTGTTTATACCGTCAGTTAGGGGCTCCTTGCTGAGTGACGGGTAACAGCTGAGTTACTGCCCCTGGTTTTGCTTTATTGCTGTATTGTCGATCTATGTGACGTTCGAACATGCAGTCATCTTCTGCATGTTTTGCACTTTGAGTCTTGTGAAAACTCTCCCCATGTTATCTGCTGCTGTGGTACAACATACATTTCTGGAGGAACATGATTTCATGCCATTTTATGCCTGTGTAGGTATTATATGACAATGAAGGCCACTTGATGTGAAAATGCATGTGCTGTCCGTGGACACCGAGGTCTGCTGGTTCCAGTAGTGCTGGGCTCTCTTGTCCAGGGTTTCTCTGCTCTCCTGTGGGTATTTCCCATGGGTTTGCCTAGACCTCTTATTCAGAGTACTGGTACCAAGGAGAGGTGCTGGGAACCAGCCAATATCCTCTCTTCTTTAATCTTCATCTAGTGGGCTTTGCTGTGGCTTAACGTCCTGCACTCTGAAATAATATAAATTAATTGGCTTAATTAAGTCTCCTTGAGCAGGCAGCGTGTGCCAGGAGCTCTCTGGGAGTGTGGCCATGCCGTGCCATGCCGTGCCATGCTATGCCATACCGTGCCATGCCGTGCCATGCAGCTGGGCGTCGGCCTGGGAGCGGTGATGCGTGTGAGCCTTGCTTGCGCCACGCCCGCTCGGGGCTCACGTTACGGGAGTCTGCTGCTAACGGGCATCCCGTGGCCTCTAATTACAGCATCTGAAGACTCTGCCTCCTGCCGCTCGGAGATATTAAACACGCATAGAAAAACCCGCCGGATGTTGTTTCTCCTGCCAGCAGTGTTTTCATCGTCTAATCATGTGAAAAGCAGTTTGAAAGGTGGCTGCTCTAGATTTCTCGGCCTTTTGGTCCTGCACCAGAGAGAGGCTGAGCTCGGCAGCACGGCGGCGTGCTGAGATGGGCTTTTACATGCTTGGTGAGGGAGCCTTCCAGTATCTGCTGCCTGCAGGGAGAGGAATCCCTGCATGTCTCTGCCGCCTGCTCTTCATTTACAATCAATATAAGTTGGTGTGATTTATGATTGTTATAAGACAGACCTGTAGTCATGTTGTTTAACACTAAATTCTAAATAGCACCTCGCTAAATAACTACCTTTGCTAATATCCCATGTCCCAGTGGGTTTCTGTGCCTCTTAAATGTCAGCTGTGCTACACAGACGTTTGGGGAGGGAAAAAAGTGGCATTTCCTTCTGGCTTTTGTCCTTGAGCTCCGCGTGAAGTTTGAGGTTTTATTTTATGTGAAGACGAAACACAAAGGAAAGCAGTGAAACGTCACCTTTCGTGTAGTTACCAGGATACTGCAGACGCAGTGAAAAACAGACTGTGTTTTATGGACCTGTTGGTGAAAGTCGTGCCGTGGTGCCTGTTTTCGGCGGTATGGCCCACTGCCCTGGTGGGGGGGGGTGGGGGGATTGGTGTGCTGACCGTCCACACGTGAATCGATAAGAAGTGAGGGACTAAGGGTGACTGCAAAGTGGAGGTGATGCTTATTTACCATCTCTGTGTTTATTGGGTGGAAAGGGCTCTGTAGGGGGGCGGACCCTGGTGATTGACACATCTCCTCCCCAGCAGGGCTGACTGCTTTTGGGGCCTGCTGACACGCAGGGAGGGAGTGCCCATCTGCTCTATGCCTGGGTTTGTGTTTACACAGGAGGTGAGGTCCTGTGAGAAGCGAGGACGGTGTGCTGCTTTGGAAAGGTCAGCCAGGTCAGAGGCAGCAGCCCGTCATCTAGCCCAGTGCTAATTATTTACCGTTTATGTTGTTTGCCAGGCTATGGAGGTGCTGGCTGAGAAGATGGGGTTTATGCTAATAATAACTGCCTGTTTTAAAAAGAAGTCAGTTTTAATGATGCTTCTGTGTTCATAATGTGACTCCTGACATGTGTCCTGATCACTCATTGGCTGACCTGGCAGCTGTGTCACATGACGGGCTGGCTGGCTCGCTCGGCCTCTTCAGGAGGCTCGCCTCCGCATTTTCTCAGCTCCTTGGATTAGTGACCTTCAGTCAGACCCTTTTGGGGGTGGGGGGGGTGCTTTCATAGGCACTTTGAACTTGCGTACTGAACAGTGGATGTAGTCATGCAAAGCAAAGGGCCACTTATTGTCTGTCTGACCAGTAAGCAACAGGGTCATGTTGAAATGCACCAGGAAGCTCTTTCTTTATTTTCTCACAGGTACTGAAACATGTGCTGACTGCTGCCTTGGTTTCACTGTCCATTTACCGGCAACTGTGCTGATAAGCTTAGGACATGTGTATTCGATCCGCTCCACGCCCCCCGCCCCCCGCCCCCCCGCCCCCTG